TTTCACATGTCTGATGTAGAAACAATCACGAGGCTTCGTAAAATACGCCGACAGCGAATCATTATGATGCTTGTCGCACTGATTGCCTCTAACAACAATGGTGAGCTACCGGCCGGCGGCCCGACTGCGCTTAGCTCGACTACAGCAAGCGAGCTAGGAGTTGAATTCGTTTTACTCTCCGAAGGCTAAGGACCATGGAATAATTATCATCTTGTTAATTCGGTACCAAGCCTAGTTTAGTAGTTGATATGTAATTCGGACAACCTACAACTAGCCTAGGCCTACTAGTACTACCCTAGGCCTAGTCATAATATTCTTCCGAGTTTTCCCGAGATTTCTCATGGTTTGAAAGTGCATGTGTGAAACGAACCAAAAATCTCGGAATATCAAACTTGTTACAACTTGTAATATTTTCTGCTAGTGTGAAATGGGTATTAGTATTATAAAGTAACTTTGTTGTCAACAATTACGGGATGTTCCAGTGAGAGTAGTCTTGTGGGTAGATGTGTGAGAAGTGAATGAGCATCACCCAAGCTTTACGCATAAACCCAGGAATACAGCTTGAATTTTGTACTCGGCACTTATTGTTTTGCTGTAGTGCACTGCTATCAATAATCAAGCTATCACAAACAAACAACAACTATTTCATTTGTTTACTCAATTTCGAGTCTGTTTCAATAATAGCTCACCCAGTGGCTCGAATTCAACCCTGCAACAAATACAGCTCCGTTTCCTGTATCCTCACAGTAAAAAATCTGATCAGATAAATTTTTGTTCATCAGACTGAATAGACTATGTTTTTTTCATATTCTTATAGGAGTATGCAGAGGATCGCCTCAAAATTTATTCCGAGATGAAGAAGGAAGTTCCGGCCAGGTTAAACTTCTTCAGCGATTAAGTTTGAAATCTGGGAAGGTCAAATGTAGCACTGCAGTGGAAAGTAGTTCAGCAAAATACTGTTACACTACTCCACCTTGTGTCCTTCTATGCACAGTTTGAATTATGGAAGCTATTTCGTTTATAAATGGGGTTGTGTTTATAGTGCCTTAAAATGTAAATAGTGGTTGAATTTCATAATTGTTTACAGTCTGTTTCAGCCATGAGTTGCAATGCATTATTGGTCTAAATATAGGTAGAGCCTCATCATCATACACACTATACTGGAGCTTTGATTACGTAAAGAAGGTCACACCATGTATATTGTTGTTAAGCACATTGTACCCACAATACACTGCCATAAACAACAATTTTAATGTGCAATGGGCATGTTGAGGTGCTTAGATCAATTCTTTGGGTATGTTTTTGTTAATTTAATCCCATGGGTGTAGGCCTGGTAGAGGGGTTGCAGGGTAGTACGGGGGGCAGCATATGAGTTCCACTATTTGTGGGTTAAAATACCAAAAATGACCATTAAATTGTAGAGAATTCTGGGATTTAGCTCCTCAATGCCATTTTTCACACCCTTCCACCCAGGCCGATACCAGCCTACGCCCCTTGATCTCCGCACACCTGCATCTGTCGACCATTAGCGACAAATCCGTCCATGCACTGTGTGATAGATAAATTTCATGATTTCCATAAGAGTTAACCCATTTCATAATTTTACATTCTCTACCCTCATTTAAGGTAGAAAAATTGGCACATCTCATCTTTCTGATATAACACAACAACTCAGAGATATTTTAAAAATTATTAATTTTACAGTAGCCTTTGTGTAAAATAATTATTCTCTTGTTTTTCAGGATTAAGTATCGGTCTCAGATCTTAAATTTTATAATTGTTATTGCGGTGGTTACCAGATTTCTCTTTTTGCATTGTATTATTACTCTTCATCCAGCTGGGAATAATTTAAATTTGTGCAATTGATGCAATATCAAAATATGTCATAATAATTGCCTGAGGTGCAAGTATTTCTGAATAGTATTGGTTTCTTTTTACACAATGAAAAATATGTACTACATACATACAGTATTATCATTGGAAGCGGTTAGCACAGTGGTTGCTATTCATGTTCTTTACCTTGAGGTCGGGGTTCAAACCTTTGACTGTGCATTTTGCTTGTGCATGTCTTGGGGTGGCGGGGCCCAAGTAACTATGACAATTTAGGGGATTCAAAGACTATTTTAAACAATTTAAGATTCAACAGGTTTCCCGACCCACAACCCCACCCACTGGTACCACCTCTGGTGCATGTCTGTTTAGTCATTAAAATAAGTGGGTATGCTGATTGATTACAATATTATGGACTTCCCTACAGTGAGCTAAGTATGGTATCAATTCAGAAACTGGGGGGTAATAGTGTAAAAGCCAATAAAGGCCTGATGTGCTACTGACATCATTATTATTCCTATTATTATCATTACCTTTGCCAAAGAAGGTTATGTATTAACCACTGTCTGTTAGCCTGTTAGCAAGGTTACGCAAAAACTAATAAAAAAATTTAGTGGAATGGTATGTAATATTCGAAGAAAGTGACATTTCAATTTTCGGAATAAAAGATAAAAAAATCAAGGTCACAGAAATTTGATTTTTTACACTCGAACCTGAAAGAGAATAGTGGAATTGTCTCTCGTATTCAGATACAGGCGGAGGTAGGCTGTGGAATTCCCCCGACCCCCTAGGGTAGTGTTGTCTCATAGCCCTTCTATTCAGACATCTCTGGATCTGTCCCTGAATAATGTGTTTGAATGCGACAGACAATTCCATTGTATTTTCTTGAAGGTATGCTGCAGCACTCAAGAAAATAATATGCCTGAATACAGCGGGCAATTCCATTATTTCCTTGAGGGTATGCTGCTGTTTCGGCCACCATACACAACCTGCGTATTGGTTCGTATACAGGCAGAGGAATACACTTTATCGAGTGACTACTTATTACTGTATTGTTATTCTTTTGTTATTTTGTAATTGATAACATTGCACAGTTTCGTGATGCAATAAGTATTTGAAAATTGTGTCCGTTTGCAGCAAAACCTGTCTTAATATTGTTTGAACTGTATAAAATCTAAAATAGAAAATATGCATTTTGAACTTTCAAATATTGAGGTACAAGTCTTTAATTTTATTGTTTTGAAAAGTGGAGGGGCTTTGATAGTACTTAAGGTACTTGTGTAAAAGACTAAAATTTTTTTATTTATTCAGTTTTATTTTATTTAGTGGTGGCGCCAGAAATATTCCGGGAAGGGGTCTGACTTGTCCGATCGAGGGGTCCGAGCCAAGGGGGTGGGGGGAACAATGAAGCTTCGGTCGACGGCCCGGAATGAAAACTTTGTTGTGGGATTCACAGGGAGAGTTTTTATTGCTTAGTATGGTCCAAAATGTGCTTTTAGTCCACAAAATTAGGGATTGGCAGTCAAAATAACGTTATTTAGATAGGAAAATTATTATTTTTGGTTTTTTTCGTTCCGACGACCTAGTTGTGCATCAGACAAAAGGGAGTCCATGGCCTGTGTCGGATGGAGGGGAAAATTCCCCCTCCCCACTGGTGCCACCACTGGTTAAACTATGTTTAAATGAAGTTCAGATGTGTTTAAAATGTTCCACTTCTGTGCTTGAAAATTTATTGTAAATCGTGCACACTGCAACGCTTAATGCTAAGGTATGGTTTCAATAGGGAATGTTCACTGAAATACAGAATGTATATATTCATCATGTACCGTACATCGCTACATATTCGAAGAATATGTAGCTTGTATATAGAATTTAGAGTATTAAACATTTTACTTTAATTTCATTATAGACATATATTAAAATTATCATTTTCCTTTACTTATACTATTGTAGTACTGTAGTCATATTATTGATTCCATATCTTATTACTACAAATGCTATGAATGTGTTTCTAGGCCTATTGTTAATTTGTCTGTATAATTCTGTGGATATAATTTCTAGCCCTAGACAGTGGTGTAACAAAGGTACCTGTGCCCACTGTGTAATGCTTCTGTAGTTCGAACTACCATGGGGGTTCGGTCCAGTTAGAGACCGTGAGGTGTACAGTGCGAACCTTCCCCTTCGGTGTTTTAGGATATAGGTTTTTGATGGTTTTTCCTTATTAAAAGGCCCTGTTCAGCTGATTTGGGTCAAAATGAAAATTGCTGATGAATATGCCAGAGCCCCTGGCTTTAACCAGTAAGAGGTCATAGCTGTTGTGATAATGGTCCAGGACTAGCGAATTATATTATTGGGCTACAAATTGCCTCGAAAACACTTGCCAAATTGATGGTAAAACTTCCATCACCAATCAGGCAAATAACGAAAGCTGGTTACACAATTTTGCAACCAGGGTGTTTTTATTTACAACTTAAAGTACTAACGCATCAACTTTTAGATTTATTTTATTTTCTCAAGAAATTCTATTTTAGATTTAATTTACTAGATTTAAGTGAAAAAGGAGAAACGATTGGTATTGGTGCACTGTTCTGCAATTTAATGATGTTTTAATTTGTTTTCCTGGTGTCAGTATTATCGAATGTTATTGTCATGGTCGTTGTTAAACAACAAAAAAAAAACTTGCTAAATATTTGTGATATAAACCACTGAATATAAATCACGTATAAAAATGTATGCCAAAATTAATTTTGATATATATTAAAGAGTCAAAGGAAATAAATTTGATAATTGTTTTCAGTCTGGAAATTTGAAACGTTGTTTTGAAAGCAGTTAGTTGCAAGGTTGTTAGTGGAATAGGTTATCGCGAGAAAGTATGGAATGAAGCGATGAAATGAAATATGATTTGTGGTATACTAAACTTGATGCAAGATACATTGTGTTGTGTTGCTCAATTGGATTCTTTTCGGATTTAGACCAGTGATGGCGCCAGAATTTGCTCGAAAGGGATGAGGAAATGTCCTCTGCTGTCAAGCTTCCATCTTTTGAGAGATATGAAAGAAAAATTATTCTCATAAATGACCCCACCCAAAGGAAAAATAGCTGCTGGATATTTGTCAATATGTTATGTTTTTGCCCGCCACAAGACGCAGTCTAACATCGAGGAGGTCTAGACGAGCAGCAACCCTTCTGGATCCTGGGAATATCATAAATGGTCTATTTTGTAGATGTGTTATTGTCAAATTAGTTTTTTACGATAATTTAATGGAACATTTTCGACATTTTGATCGACTTTTTTTCGTCGGGGACACCGTTCCACGTTGAGGACCTCGGACCCTTGTCGGGAAAATTCTGGTGGTGCCACCACTGCTACGACAGGGGCGGATGCAGGGAAGTGGTGCAGACGGTACTGTGCTATCGCACCCCTCTAAATACTGTATAATAATTTCGCATTGTATTGTTAACATGAATTACCCGTCAGATTGTTAAGGTATGAGAGTGCAATTTCCAGACACCTAGAGTCCATATTCTCAAAATGTTCACACCTCAGACCCAGCCATGGCTGGGGCTGAGGTAGTGTGGACTCTCACATACCCCCAACCGCCAAATCAGTGCATCCGCCATAGTACGATATATTTCTTTCAGAGCTGTGCACGCATGTAAACGGTAAATCTTCACGAATATTTTGTCCTTACTCAAATTATATGATGAAATGGGTCCACTTTTTATAAGATGGATCCATATTAGACTCTATGCATAAAATATATGGGTCCACTTTTAAGAAATGTGGGTCTGATAACAATTGTAAGTTTTGGTTTTTCTGTCTCTAGAAGATTTTAGACGTGTTGGAAGGGGGTCTGGCGATTCTCCTTCGGATCTTTCCTGCAGTCTGACGTCTATATGTGAATGAATACACTCCGAATAAATAGTTCGACCCAATTTACTGTGGAAAATTGATAATGATGATAAAGAAAATGATGATGAGGAGGAGCAGGTAGCGTAAAAATAGGTGTTGACAAGCTCCTGTGCAAGGTTAATTACTGGTTTTGGTGTGAAGTGTCATGTCAAACGAGACTCGTAGCCTGAGTTACGGTTGGGGTTTGCCAACATTATCGTCGTAATATTTTTAATGCACACAGACGTCGGACAACATTAATTATCCATTGTCCACAAGTTAAGTGATTTATGATTATGTTATGTATAGAAAGTGATATGGAACACAAAATATAAGTTCACGTATTCGTTTACTTCTGTTATATTCTGTCAGTTATAAAAAATATAAAAAATTAATCAAACGAATAGTGAAAAATAAAAAGAATGCCGATAAATTAAAATTAATCCTTCCCCTTAGACTCTCCTTTTTCATCCATGGAAACCTCCGAATGCTCCGAAGATTTAGCTTTACACGAGAAGTATTTGTTTGAATCTAAACAATTTTAGGTACAGATAACGTTTTCAGTTTTTGTTAGAATAAATCAAAGAATAAACAATTGAAACGAACACAATAATCTATAATCGCCTCTGAAACCTTTGGCTGTTAAATTTGTCTAATAAAAATTAAATAGAAACGTGTTTTTTTTCTATTACAGTTTTTTTTATCTAAAGTCAAACAAATGAATAATAAAAACATAAAAAAGAATATAAATATATTTAAAATAACTAAAAAATACACACCTACGCTAATCCTGGCACTAGAGGAACTTGCCAAGTAGTAATCGCTATTCCTTAGACACTCCTTTTCCTCTCTCCAACTCTCTGGAAGTTCCGAGGTTCTAGCTTTGCACGAGCCGTATTTGTTTGAATTTAAACAAATTTAGGTACTGATTAACGTTTTCAGTTTTTGCTAAAAATATACCAAAGAATACACAATTGAAATGAACACAATACGATCAATCGCCTCTAAAACTTTTGGCCGTTTAATTTTTCTATTAAAAATAAAATAGATTTTTTTTTTTTTTAATTATAAATTTTAGAGGACTATTATGTAACCGGGACTTGAAGACTAATTTCAATTATTTTCGGTACCGTAGTTGTTTACTTGGGCAAAACGCGTTCGCCTTTCTTCACCTGCGAGTGTCTGGTGAGAGATGAATGAAATTGGATATGCTGTAGACCTACATGCATAACCATAATTCTCCCCTCAGACGAGAGCAAAACGAATGCTTCCTGTTCCTGTTGGGTCGCAGTTTGAGTATTGCAGGGCTTCACGTGGGCGTCGATTCATTCCCCCGCCCAACTTTCGAGAGTAGGGCCGGAGATATCATATCCATTTGTTTTACTGGTGAAATAATTAATACGATATGATTGGTCTAACAATAGATTACCTGGTTAAAATGTAAATATTTCAGATATTAATCACAGAAAATCACAATTTTTATATTCAATACATTCTCGCCTGTCTTTAAAATGGGAACCTTTTCAAATTTTAGTGGGGTGCGTACGTAACCATCGCAAAACCTCCACTCGCTTGATATACGGGCATGGACAACTTTGCATTTTAATTGTCCATTAATACTGTACCGTATCATACGCTTATTAATTATATATCTTCTCAGATTTCCAATAATTTTTTTAAATTCTTTTCCACCCCAACGAATCCCGAATGAAATTGCATCAATAGAAAACAAAGAAAGGTTCAAGATTGCTATATCCGACCACCTAAGGAATACAGAACGCTAAGTTACAGCGCCACCACTCCTTCTCGCTTTGCTCCTTTTAGGGGCGTTGAGGAGTACAAATCCAGATCCAGAACGCTGATTGGATTTAAAGATACTTCCTTTTGTTGCTCTTCTTCTGATGCCATAATTATTCATTTGCCGTTTCTCGGTGCTTGGTGGTCATTTTTGACCTTCTTATTAGATGTATCAAATTCCAGCTTTGAGTGTGTTCACTTATAAGTTTTAAGCTCTGGTACACAACTACGCTACCCACTACAATAAATACCAGGTTTACCCCCACCCCCATAACATTCTTTAAAACAATAAATTAATAATTAATTAAAAAGTAAAAGTAGGCCTAATAGTTAAAATAATTGGTTTTTGCTTTAGTGTGATTTTGAAATAACAAAATGTAATAAAATTATAGGCCCTATGTTCCTTTAATGTCAATAAGGTTTAAAGAATCAACACACATAGGCCTACATCCTCCATAATTATTATGATTGATTCTTGATTAACCATGCATTGTGACATATCAAAATACAAAACTCAACAGTCTACGTATCACAGTACATCGCGCCGCCGACTCAATTACAGTCCTTTTTTTAATTAATATTTAGACAATGCAAACACGTATTGCATTTATTTAATCTATATTGTTTATCTAGAGTTGAGAGGTTTTCCGAATAAAGAGGAGAGTTTAAAAATTCGCCAGTCCACGAATCACTTAATATTTTTGAAAATATTTTATCTCTCACCCTGACCTTCGTCATGACGAACGGTGCGAATATCTGGATCTGCGCCTGGGCACCAAACTTCTCATTTTTCTTTCCCCAGATTTCCCCGGCGAAAGCAAGGAAAATTTTGACAATTTGCGTGTTTCAAATACTTATTTAATTGATTTTAGAGTCTACTAGATATGTAGAAAATACATATTTTCCCCTACGAATTGTGCTTCTTCTCCCCGACGGAGGGAGGGGACCTCCCCCCCCCCACTGACGCCACCCCTGGGCTTGCGTTTAAGTAGCTGCTCTAGGCCTGCTTATGGTAGCTAGCCTAAAATTGGGAGAGTAGGAAATTGCTCGAAAAATCAGAAGAAATCCACCAAAATCGGGAGCTCCAGCTATGATGTAGTGGAACTGGAATTAGTAAAATCACGAAAATATAGGCCGTGAAATATTTTTAATTTTAAAATAACGAAAATAAATAACAGCGAAAATAAAATCATCATTATAAATGTATGCTAGGATAATCGTATTATCTTGATTCGTTACCATCACCTAAAATATCTATGAGGCGCCAAATATACTTTCATTATTTCAAAAAAATATATTTTAGCGATTTTCCCTATTTTGTAAGTAATACGATGTTAAAAAAATTAGGTCCTATTTATAAATAATGACTGAGTAAAATAATTTTTTATATATAATGACTTTCGGCACTTCAGTTAATTATAAATACCAGTGCTACTTTAAATTATTAGTTATAATGAAAATTGCTTCACCAATTATTTATATATAAAGTTAGAGCCAAAACTAAGTACTGTATATGCATATAATGAACAAATGTTGAATTATATATTAAATAATGAATTATATGTATATAATTTTGTTAAATAGTGAAAGTACATTTGGCGCCTTAACTATCATCATCAACAACCTCTAACATATCATAATCGCTATCATTTCATCATCATATTTTAATAGCGATTTAATAGCAATATCATAATAATAATATCATAATAGTAATAGGCCTATATAATAGTAATATCATAATAGTAATAGTAATATCATATTTTAATAGTGTTGTTTATAATAGTGATATAAGTCTACGTATAGACAATAATAATTTCGCATTATTAATCATGTTTAAGTATTTTTATCATCTTTTAATTTGCAATTGTATCCATCAAAATTAAGATATTGTTGGTTTTCATGTCCAAAGAAGAGAATAATCCTGCTTTATATTTTATGAAGGGAAGCCAGCTCGAACTGCCAAGTGCGATCACTAAGAGAAGAAGAAAATAAAGTTATTAATAGTTACAGGTAAATGAAAGGGTCAATGGTAATTCGGGGGTGTCACAAATAGCGATTTAACAGCCTAGAGACGTGTGGTTAAGTTCAAACACGATCCTTGGATTGGTGAGGCTATCACAGGTATAAATGGGATGCTGACCCAGGCAGTTCACTAAACAGAGTTAAAGGGACGATTGTATATATACCTGTCTCTTATACACATCTAGATGTGTATAAGAGACAGCTCCTTCTCGCTTTGCTCCTTTTCAAAGACTTACTGACGATCGTAGTTTTTTTGACTGAAAATGCTATGTGCACCGACAATCACTTTGTTATCACCACAGGAAAACAACCCTGGCGTTCCATATAAGTTAATGAAGTTGGTCCAAGAACAGAAGTCGAAAAAAGATGGGAAATCCCTGAAATATAAATTAATTTTCAATATTTAAAAACATAAGGGATAAAAGGGATATATTTGACAGCTGTAGACCTAACAGTGAGACGTTAACATGTTTGATATCGCCACTGGAAGATTTATTCGAACCTTCATTTCCCTATATAATTCCCAATAAGTCGTGACGTGTTTCATCATGAGGACTGGCAAATCATTCTTTTAGTACTTCAATAATTTAAAGCCATCCCTCCCTCAAGACTACTGTATACTTCACCCAGTGGGGTTTTTTTTTTGTTTGTTTTTTTTTTTACTCTGGACCAAGTGATGAAAAATCGCAGAACCACAGATTAATTATTTTGGAGATTCAATAAAATATAGTAATATTGCTTTTTATAACACCCTAAATAGATCCCAATCATTTGATTGGTTGATTTTGTACCACGTGAAATTAGTTATTTTCCCCATTTCCTGTCTCTTATACACATCTAGATGTGTATAAGGGCGTAACGGTAGGGATGGGGTCCTGTGGCTTTCTGAGATGGGGCCCTTTTTGTGTCACGGCTGCTAAGTCCATTGTGGAATTTTAGATGTGCTCGTATTTTAATCATGTGTGTCACTGTAAATGTTTCAACAACGAAATAATGAAAAGATATTTGTGGCGGATCCAGGAATTTAAAATAGAGGGGGAAGGGACCGGGGACTTTCACGGATAGAAGGTCTACGTGAGGTAAGAAAATTTATTATTATGGCGCCTCTGATGGCCGGAAATGCTACTCACATACTTAGGCCTATAATTTTCATTTTATCTCTATTTTCTTATTTAATTAATGTGTCACTGGATACAAAGTATGAGATATGTCCTACATTCAATGTCACAGACACATTATTCAATTATCAAAGGTGGAGGCAGCGGTGGGGGGGCAGGGCCCTCATCTGGGAGAAAAAGCACAATTCGTCGAGGAGAAAAAAAAATTATATGCATTTTCTACATATTAGTAGACTCTTATTTGATCAAATAAGCCTTGAAACCCCTAAATTGACAAAATTTTCGGGGGTTTCGCCCCCAGGTCCACTTTCGAAAATCTTTTAATCGAAGCTCGACCACGCCCACTTTGCTCTCGTTGGGAAAATCTGACCCCTCATCGGGGCATCCCCCCCCCCCCGTCGGACAAATCCTGGCGCCACAGTTATTTAGGCCTATTAACAAAGCTCATTTGGGTCAGAATGCTAAATCGAGGACCATGGGTAGGAGCCCCTTCGGGGCTCTTAGGTATCGGGGTCCTGGTCCGCTGCACGAGAGCGCATTGTTTTTTTTTTCCCCGGCTTTTTTCTTTGTGTTCTTGACTTCAATATTGTCTAGCGCATAGAGACCTCGTTTATTTGCGCTATAAGTCCATCTATTATTATTATTATTATTATTAGTACGCCACTGTGTAAAAGGTAAAAAGGATCGTGAATGTAAATAGAAAAAAAAGGAAGAAAATTGCCTCTCAACAAGAAATTGAACCCGGGACTAGTACTTCCTGGTAGGCCTATGACAGCAGGTCATGAAGACCTTAGTAGAGTAACACCCTACTCCATAATGCAGAATATGGTAGAAAGCGTGCGGGTCATTGGACGTCAGTGGAGTAACGTCCCTACAATAGTAATAACACATTATTAATAATAGACCCCCTATTGATTTTAATATTTATAATATTACCACGTATAGGCCATCCTCGGTATCATTTTAAATAGAATAATCGAGGTTACTGACTTATTACAATCGTTACTAGTATCATCGTCGTCATCATCTTTGTCGTCGTTGTCATCATCATCATCATCATCATCATCATCATTATCATTGTTTTATCAGAATCATCGTCGTCACTACCTGCACGACCACCACCACCATCGTCATCTTCACCATAACCGTCATCATTATAATGTTTGGCATTTTAATGTTAATCGTCAGGAATCAAGATTATTGTGCATGATCGTTGTCGTTGTCGTGGTCATCATGATCACCAACATCATCATCATTTTCATCATGATCCTAATCCTCATCATCATCTTCATCTCAGGTACGTCTTCAGAAATTACGGTAATTTTCAAAGACTTACTGACGATCGTAGTTTTTTTGACTGAAAATGCTATGTGCACCGACAATCACTTTGTTATCACCACAGGAAAACAACCCTGGCGTTCCATATAAGTTAATGAAGTTGGTCCAAGAACAGAAGTCGAAAAAAGATGGGAAATCCCTGAAATATAAATTAATTTTCAATATTTAAAAACATAAGGGATAAAAGGGATATATTTGACAGCTGTAGACCTAACAGTGAGACGTTAACATGTTTGATATCGCCACTGGAAGATTTATTCGAACCTTCATTTCCCTATATAATTCCCAATAAGTCGTGACGTGTTTCATCATGAGGACTGGCAAATCATTCTTTTAGTACTTCAATAATTTAAAGCCATCCCTCCCTCAAGACTACTGTATTTTTTTTACTCTGGACCAAGTGATGAAAAATCGCAGAACCACAGATTAATTATTTTGGAGATTCAATAAAATATAGTAATATTGCTTTTTATAACACCCTAAATAGATCCCAATCATTTGATTGGTTGATTTTGTACCACGTGAAATTAGTTATTTTCCCCATTTCATCACTCATCATGAAATAATAATAACAATTATTATTATTTTGTTCTTTGTTCCACCGTGCATTTCTTTTTCCACCCGTATGTCTACTTCATGGAAATTCTAATGAAATTCAAAAAGTTCTCCCCTACTAAAGAGCTTTATCAAATAAGGTACTCAATCTTTTTTTACAACAAGAAAACAAAATTGTGGCAGCATTTGCCCTATTTTCCACTGACTAATTTATACTCACGCGGGGACGAAATCATCGCTTCGACTGGTTGCGCATTTTTTCGCTTCGCTTAGCAAAAAGTAGAAACAGTCATTCTTGAAGATAAAACTTGATCAAACCACATTTAATTCATCGTGAGTGGTGTGAAACTTACCTGCAATGAAAGTCAAAATATCTGTCGTCTGGATCGTGGTTGGCGTGCTGAGATTCCACTTTCCATATCGCTTGATGTGTGGGGCAGGTAAAATACAAGTCTTTTGTGAGAACGTTGTCCCAGGCTTCGGATGCTCCAAAAAGAGCAACCACCACAATGAATAAGAAACGCATGGTGTCAGTTAAGTTGTACACCTGAGCAGAAAATATAGCGAGTGACAGATTAAGCTTTCGTGCGCTCAGGGGCGGATTTAGAGGGGGCCGGACAGGCCCGCGGCCTTCCCATCCCTTTAGGAAAGTTGAACAAAAATTACCCCCTAGGATAGTGTTGTCTAGATCGACCCCACTTTCGCCCTCTTCCTCCTCCCCTTCGGACATCTCTGGATCCGCCCCTGGCGCTGGAGTACCTCAACACTACTTTGAGCAGTATTTAACCACTTTATATTATTGGTTAATCAGCTCTTTCACCTGATTCCGAGGACATAAAACACGTCCACATTATTCTGTGTTGTGGCGGGCTTAAATTTGAATATAATTTTGAAAAGACTTGAATCCGCCACTGAATTGTTCCACATCTCAGTTAACGTGTAGACCAATAGCCACCACTACTAAACATACACCAACTAATAAAATACAAGGTTTCACAATAAAGGAAGATGATGTCAAGGAAGCTGATGATGACGACGATATTAAATACGGTAATGATGCTGATGGCGGACGACACAACGACGACGACGACGACGCCATCCACGAGAATGGTTAAGACGACGACGATAGCGATGACGATGATGATGTTGATGATGATGATGATGATGATGATGATGATGATGATGATGATGATGATGATGATGACGATGATGATGCTGATGATGATAATAATGATAATAATGATGAGAATGATGGAAGATATTACACTTACAAAATTGTTTTTTTTTTTGTTTTTTTTTGTTTTTTTTAAATTTCATCAAAGTCCAACAGTGACCAAGGTCACCCTTTACAGGATTGAATAATAAAATCTAAATATATATA